GTGACATATTTTTATTTGTAAAACTTAACACAAAAGATATTTAAATAAAAATACTAAATGAAATATTTAAAGTATAACAAAACATGTTACATGAAGCATGGTTGTTCCAACAATTGAATGACACGTTTGTTTGTGGTAAAAATTGCATATTGTAAACAAATAAATTTAAGAGCAATCTCTGACTGAATTTTAGATTCTTTTTAGTTTCTTTTAAGTGTATTGTTAATGTGGTAATGAAATTGACATCGTAAAGCAAGCAATTGAGTAAGAATAGTCACAAAATAATAAAGAAATATTGAACTAAACAATAAAGTGATATTGTTTTGAACATAGCTTAGAGAAACAAATTGTGCATGAATTAAATTGCAGAAATGAAATTAAACAAAAAAAATTGGAAATAAATTGCAGAAAAGTAAACGTACGACTTAAGTAAAGAACAATAAGGGCTGTGAATCCTCTAGTAACTGATGTATGGCTCGGTGCATAATTTTAACGTGCAGTCTAGGTGCGAGTGTCATGTGCAAAAAGTCGTTCTTTGTAATGTAAAGTTTGATACTATTTATAGGTGAATGCATCTCAACAGCTCTTCTTTTTTTATGGGTCTCTTGATAACTGCCTTCTGCATGTACTTGTCTTCAACCGTTGCCACTCATTATCCATAACTACTTGCAATCGTGATTTCTTAATAACCGTTGTTGTCCATGATTGATTCTTCATGTCTTAGACCTTCAAGTGATGATAACCACTAGTAACTGCTGTTTAGGTAGTTGTTTCAAATCTTGTAATTCTTTCGACATGTTTCTCTATCTTGCCTTGTAGACTTAGAAAATTTTCCCTTGTCGATTCCTGTTTCGACAAGTTTGAGAGAAAATTTGTGAGTTTTTTCTTGTCTTGTAGACTTAGAATAATTTCCTTGTCAGTTCCTATTTCAACAAGTTTCAGGAATAATCTGAGTTTCATCTTGTCTCGTGAATTTAGAATAATTTTTCTATCAATTTCAATTTCAACAAGTTTCAAAGAAAATATGTGAGCTTCATCTAGTCTCGTGGACTTAGAATAATTTTTCTTGTCGATTCTTGTTTTGACAAGTTTTAAAGAAAATTCGTGGGCTTATCTAGTCTCGTGGACTTAGAATAATTTTTCTTGTTGATTTCTATTTCGACAAGTTTTAAGAAGAATATGTGAGTTCTATCTAATCTTGTGGACTTAGAATAATTTCCTTTATTGATTCATATTTTAACAAGTTTTAAGAAAAATCCATGGGTTCATCTAGTCTCGTAGACTTGGAATATTTTTTCTTGTCGATTTCTATTTCAACAAATTTTAAGGAGAATTTGTGAGCTCTATCTAATCTCGTGAACTTAGAATAATTTTCCTTGCCGATTTTTATTTCGATAAGTTTTTAAAGGAAATCCATGAGCTTCAACTTATCTTGTGGACTTAGAATAATTTTCTTTGTTGATTCCTATTTTGACAAGTTTTGGATATTTTCAATCTATGACTCGAAAATTCCCAAAACTCCTCAAAATGCAACCCCCTTTTCGACAAAAAATGAGGCTCCTCTTTTGACCTATAAGAAGTCTACAAAATAAACTTTTCTTTCTGACAAAGTATGATGCTCTTCTCAAGACTCTCCAAAACTCTTCAAAATGTAGTTTTTTTTTTTAATAGAATGAGACTCTTCTTCCAGTCTTCATAGAAACATGTAGAAGAGTAGTTCCCGTGACAAGTTTTTTAGACTTAGATTTTTTTAGTTTCCCGACTCGTTAGGATGTAGGGACCCCTATATTCTCTTTGATTTTAGTCGAAAGATATGTCATTGCCACTGATCTTTAAGGTGTGTTTCTCCTTAGAAAAACACAATCTATTTCCTACCATGAAAGTTTATTAAGGTCTTTATAACTTAGAAAATTTTTCTTTCTTCAAACATGCATTGTACCTTTTCACTTTAACAACCTCTTAAAATTTGAACCTTAATCGTACTTGAAACATTCTTGAATAAAAGCAATTTAACAACCTCAAACAAAACTTTACTAAATCATCTGCCAAACACTCTCACTTTGACCTTCTCACTTCATGGCAAGGCCAAGTTAGAAGACAACTGATCTGGAGTTAAATACTTGATCATAGTCAAAGTATCTAATCACAACCATCATGCTCATATATATTATGAGAAGAATGATTCATTGTGCTGACAACTAATCACGACCATTAAACTCTATTCCAATCATAAGTTATTTACCCACCCAATGAATCATGGCTTAAGCTCATCTTGAATTTAGTTTTAACCCTGAGCACCAAGTTGCTTAAGCATTTCTCCATTATTTGACAATTGTGACTTTGTTGATAAATGATCAGTTTTATTAGACGCGTTATACATATCATTAAGATGTTGGACACACTTTCGTACTTAGATGATTACAATGCCAAGTATGCATAATGGCAAATCTACCTCATCTAACAATGCATATATGTAAGAAAGGAATCTTTTGGGTTAGGTACACTATCTCATTACCTTATATCCTTATTCAAGTCAATTTCCTTTCGGGGTTAGGTTCACTATCTCATAACCTTATTTTTTATTCAAGTTAATTTTCACTAACTTAAGTGCTAGAGTATTTCCTGAAGGAAAACGTAACATTTGGAGATTACCAAAGTACTATGAACCACTGTTATCAACATCTTATACCCTCCATTATCAAGATTTTAGGCTGCACTCAACCTTGGATATACCTCAAGAATCAGCATACTAATCAAGTTCATTTTGCATTTTTATGTGTCGGCATTATAACGTGATCCTCGTGCTTAAATTTAAAATACTTTTCAAGTTTTCTTACAAATAGCTATAATATATACACCTTTTAACTCATTTTTTAAATATCATAATTTTTTTTCAAACAAATTAGAAGGAGTTCAAAAGGGAGTAGAGTTATCAATTCAAAGAGATTCAAATTTATATAGAAATATTGAGATAATTCAATTAATAAAAACATAAACTAAAAAAAATTCAAGTACGTATATGATAGAATTTATCAAGTACGTACGTGATAGAAGTTATCATAGATCTCAAATAAATTGTTTAGAATTGCAAGAGTTGTTAGTATATAAATTTAAAATCCTGTCTGTGATCAAGTAACCAAAGACAACACAAATCATTATCTTGCAGATCGAATCAAAATCAAGTGAAATCTCACTCATAAAAATAATCGCAGTTGAAGTAAAGAAGGTGAGAAAATTTAACTCAAGAAACAGTTGAAATAGAGTCTCCAAAATCAAATAAATTAGACTTTTTAACTCCTTAGATTTGATAGAGGGTTTAGTTCTGTATGGAAGAAAACACAATAAAATAAAATGCTCAAGAACAAGAAGAAAAATATATAGTTTTATATTAAGTTAAAAATTGTAATACGTACCCTTTGTCTTTCAATGGAATCAATTACTAGTTAAGAAGTAACTAACCTTGGATTAGCATCAACAAGGAAACCCAAAGTATCTAAATAGAATGCTTCTTCCTATTTTACAGTTAAGAACATTTGAAGGTCCAAAAGAAAAATAATCTCCTCTACGATTGTTCCACTGAGATTACTTTTAGAGATATTAGCCAACAGAGCTCAAAGCTTCGCATCACTAATTTAAGCAACCAAAGGTTAACCTCATTCGCCTCACCAACCAACAAAGTAACATTAGCTATAATTAACTACTTATAATCATATCATTAATACAACTTCTGAATAATTAAATTTTCTCCCTCTGCATACAATTGCATCCGTGTTTCTTTAATTATACGCGAGATGAGGAAAAAAATAATCTTAATACATAAAAAAGTGCAATATGTTAATCTTAACTATTTATATATGAATTTGTGATCAAGAGTAATTCCTCTTAACTGTTGTACTCTCACTAGAACTTATTGTAAAAGAAAAATTAAGGTAATGAACTTCTTTCATTTTCAAAATGAGATTTCTTTTTTTAAAATAAAAAAATAAGTGTATTTTTTTATTTTTAAAAAAAGGCTCTTTTAAGAATACAAATAAACTTACTCTAAATATGCAAAACTATGGCATATCATGCAAATTTTCGTAATTCGTATCTCTAAAAATATAAAAGGAAATGTTTTAATTTAAGCATCTAAAAATGCCAAGATTAAAGTGATTAATGATATTAATCTATCATTCTTAACTCTTACAAATAATTTTTTAATGAATTCACTCTCACGTAATGTCATATTATAATTTTTAAATAAAATATATTTTTTATTTATATTAAAAGTATAATTTAATTACTTTTTAAATGAGAGTGTGAAAACTTATTCATATAATACAATGATAATTAATTTACTAGATAAAACAATTAAGAATTCAATATATTTTAAGTAGATAAGAGAGACTCCTAGAATTTAAACTTATGACATATATGATTATATATATATATATATATATATAGAATTATACACAAAATTGTATTGAAAACAAAAATTTCATGACTACTAACTCTTAATTTTAACCATTTATACATAATTGTAAAACCTTAATTTATTATTTTCATATTTTATATAAAAAGGTTCCCATATTATAGATAGACGCACACACAAGGTCGTGAAGTAACTTCTTGCATTCTTAAATTAAATTTGAAAAGCATCAATTAGGATGATGGCAACCGAACCAGTGTGTGACGGTCCACTTCCTGTTGTTGAATTCTCGAATGAAAAGATGAAGCCTGGCTCCGATACGTGGCTTGAAGCTTGTAAAGTGGTGCGGAGAGGATTTGAGGATAACGGTTGTTTCCTAGCACGGTTTGACAAGGTTGGTCCAGAGCTTCTCAACTCCGTTTTCTCTGCAATGGAACAACTCTTTGGTCTTCCATTAGAAACCAAAAGGAGAAAAACCAGTGATAAACCAAACCATGGATACACGGGTCAAGTACCTGCATCCCCTCTATTTGAATCTTTTGCTGTTGACAATCCATCTAATATTGAAGATTGCCAAAAATTCACACACGTGATGTGGCCGGCAGGAAATGACCATTTCTGGTATTTATCATCATTCCATTTTTTGCTATAATATTTGTTTCTCAGCTCTCAATTATTTATAAAACAAAACCAGATACAATTCATTAGATACTTTGATTTGATTCAACGTTGTTTATTAACTAAAATTAAAATTTCATCTCGATAAAAAGTTCATATTTAATGTTGTGAGTTACAGAAGTAAAATTTTAATTTTGAATGAAAAAGAATAGAAAGTCTGAAGTTTTATATATTTTATACTAAGATAAATTATACTTGATATTTTTCTAATCACTTTAACTCTTACAAGGAAGTTTAATTGGTAGCAAAAAATATAAAAAAGACTAAAGTGAGAAAGTATATAATTATGAGAGGTAAAATATTATTTACCCTTTATAATAGCTACCGGTACCATATAGTTAACTTTCTTATTTAAATTTATTTTTGTCTTGTAAATAGTGAAAATGTCTGTGCATATGCTAAGCTGTTAGAAGAACTAGACGAAATCGTGAAGAAAATGGTGTTTGACAGCTATGGTTTGGACAAGCACAAATATGAGTCGCTCCTTGAATCAACCAATTACGCTTTTCGGAGCTACAAATACAGGATACCTGAGATGGATGAGAGCAATGTGGGAGTGAATTCTCACACAGACTCAACCTTTATAACCATACTGCATCAGAAGGTAGCTGGCTTGGAAATTAAATTGAAAGATGGAGAATGGTTTCGGCTTGATGCCTCACCTTTGTTTTGTGTCATGGCTGGTGATGCATTTATGGTAAAACTTTATTAAATAATCTCATAGTAAAATAACTTTAAACGTTTGTTGTTGATCATTTTCTTTTATACTTCGAGTTTTGTTTTAAATATGTTGCTAATTCTTATATTTTTGCAGAACTTTGATTCTAGTCTCTCTGTTTATAACTTTTAGTCCTCCATGAAGACTTGGTTAACTTAAAAATTATCACGCGTAAAAGTTTTATAAAGTAACATAATCGTTTCTTAAAAAAATCAAACACTAACATTAATAAAAAGTTATATGACTGTAATCAAAATTTCATGAAAATGTAAGGATAAAAAAGATACTTATGGTTAATTTTTATTTGGTTAACATTTGACATTCATTTTCTTGGCCTAGGTATGGAGTAGTGAAAGGATACGCCCTTGTGAACATCGTGTGATTTTAGAATCGAAGATAACAAGATACTCTTTGGGACTACTTTCATACAGTAATAAGATGGTGCAAACTTTAGAGGATCTGGTGGATGAGGAACATCCCATACGCTATAAGCCATTCGACCACTATGCATACGTTGCTTTCCGTTTCACAGAAGGAGGAGTCAAATTTACAAGTCGAATCAAAGCATTTTGTGGCATTTAATTTAAGAAAATCTATGTTTCATGTGAAGTTTTTGAAGTCGATGTTATATTTCTCTGATATGAAAGGAATAAGGTTAATGCTTTGGTACCTTCAAATTTAAACGCATATAGATACTCATCTTAAGTGGCGAAGTAATATATTTATTGACATGTATAGATTATTTAATTAACTCAATTTTTATTTACGGTATTTATCTTTTATTTTAAATTTGTAAACACAGTAATATCTTTTATTTAATCAACCTTTATATTGCTGACGAACACCCAACACCATGGACCAACTACGTTACCCGATCCATCATTGTTGGTCACATTGAAGAACACGTTGTTCATAGCACGTGTGACCCACGGAGATCTACGGTGTGACTTTCTCCAAGTGTTAGAAAAACAGGGTCTCAAGGACTTATTAATAAATATATAAATTATTATCTATAAATTTAAATGATGTACAATTGTCAACTTATTATTATGCCACACAAGAAGGGTAATTGAAGAATTTACCAAAGAATAATTGACACGTCAGAAGTTGAATAAATGTAAGAGTTCCCTTCTTGTCTATTCTAACTTATTAGTTTATACATTACAAAAGGAAATATTGCTAGTTATAGGCATAATTAAGAAATCAGAATCGATTTTTTTTTAATGTTATTAATTAATGTACCTTTATTTTCATTTTTAATGCGATTTTGATAAAAATTTTCTGTTTTTAATTTTTTAAAACACTATTTCAGATAATAAAGTTTTGTATTGATGGGTGAGTAAAAAATTTTAATGAGCAAGAGAATCAATAACTAAATTGTCTTAGATCTTTTAGACAAACTGAATACATAAATTTAAACTTAAGCCCACTCTTTCCTGTTTTATTAATGAATTGAACATTTAAATTTTAATGATATTAAAGTTAGGTATAGGAAAAAAATTGAAAAAAAATGGAAGTCAAATGAAAAATAAAATAGTTAAAATTAAAATTACTCATAATATCTAAAATCTCAAGAAAGAAGGATAAGTCTAGACAAAGATAATAATAATAATAATAATAATAATAATAATAATAATAATAATAATAAGCACCATTAACAAAGACCCAAATTTTAAGTAAACCCTAAGATGTGCAGCTGAAGTTCAAATTTAAAATATAAGCCAAAACTAATAATTAAATCCAAGTCACAGTTGATCTCTAAAAACCGGTCAATTAATTCAAATTTAAGCTTATACTCTCACATTTTTTTAATCTGCAGTACATTCAAATTCTAATACACTAGATAGTAAAATCTTTATAATAGTTATTGCAACTTGTAATTTGGGTGTAAAAATTTAGGATGTTTATGTAATTTTTCCTCTTCCGATGAAATGAATAAAGATTAATTTACGCTGAATTTAATATCATACGAAATGGATTTAATTAATTTGAATTGAGATTTTTTTATCATCGGAGTTGAACATTTTTCGACTATAGATATTATTTTAATGACAAGTTTGAAAAATCCTTTTACTATAATCTGAATTAGTTTTGTTCTAGTTTAAATTTGCATTTTTGTAATTCTTTATTTTACTTTTTAGTCTAGCTTTCATTAACCTCAAGAGTTAATGTTTTTAATAAAAAATGACATTTAAAAATATTTTTATAAGTTAAAGAATTAAAGTAAACTATAAAAAGTTAGAAGACAAAATGAAAAATACTTTAAAGTTAAAAGGAAAAAAAATACTAATTTTATCAAAATATTTTAAATAATTTTAAAGTATAAACTCTAAACTCTAAATATCATAACAAAAAATATTTAGCTTGAATAGAAAAATGCTTCCGAAAGCATAATCCTAATTTCAGAAACTTATTTTCAGAAATAATTAATAAATCCACAAATTAATTTTCAGAAGGGTAAAAATATAAATTTGGAAAATAATTGAATTTTAAAACCTTATTTCTAAAAATGTAAAATCCTAATTTTGTAAACTTATTTTCTAGAAATAATTAATAATTCTAAAAATTAATATTTAAAGTATAAAAATTTAAATTTAGAAATTAATTTAATTCTAGGAACTTATTCGTGAAAGTGTAGAATCTTAAATCCAAATATTCTTAATGATTCCATAAATTAATTTTTAAAAGTATAAAAATTTAAATTTGGAAATTAATTTAATTATAAAAATATATTTTCAAAAGTGTAGAATCCTTAATCTGAAAAATTATGTTCATAATTAGTTAATAATTTTGAAAATTAATTTCCAGAAGAATAAAAACTTAAATTTAGAAATTAGTTTAATTTCATAAATTTATTTTAGGAAGTTTAAATTCTTAATTTTAGAAATTTATTTATGAAAATATTTAATAATTTTGAAAGTGTAAAAACTTAAATTAAGAAATTAATTTTAATTCTAAAAGCTTAACAACTTGTCAACTTTAAGAAGTGATAAAGAAATAAGAAAGATGAAAATCCTGTAACATAGTGTATAAGGATAAATGCCTAGGATTTTGATTTTTTCTTGTGACTTGTTAAATATAATCCAATTCAAATTTACTCTATTGTATTCATGTAATTATCATTCATCTAATCAACATTTATAACTACATAATAATTATAGAAAACTGATAGTCTTCTTATTTGAATATTATTTTAATGATAATTGGAATTAACATACAAATAAAAATATTAAGATTTATTAAACTTAATTAGTTAATTAAAAGATTAAAGAATAAATTGATCTTCTTAATCTTTTATCCTTTAGATCGATTAACCCATTAAAAATATGATCATTTATTAATTGATTAATTAAGATTAACTCTTCAATAGTACATAAAAGCAAAAGAATAATTTCGATTAACATCTAATATAAATAATTTAAATTTAAATTACAGTTCACAAATTTTACATATTAAGTATGTACCTTAGTCTCATAGTAAGAAAGAGATGTTTGTTATACATACTTAAAAAATACAACATAAAGTGAACTAAACAATAAATATTTATTCATAATCCTAATAAAAGGGAAAAAGAACCCATTTGCTTTGGGAGAAATATTACTCTGTTCTAAGGAGTGGTTTAAGGAAGAGAAGAGGGATGTTGCCCAGTAGAAGTTTTTGAACTCATAATACTTATTCAATCTTGAGGTAAGATAGAGAAAGAGGTAGATCACTTTAAAAAACCTTGAGACTACCTTCAAAAATCAACAAGTACCCTCTTAAAACCTTCAAGTTTTATTTATATTACATTGAGCATGAGTGTACTCACTTTAAGCAAGCTCAAAATAGAGAATCTTATGATTTAAGCTTGGGGCGTGCTCATCTTAGCACACCTTAAACAGAGTGTATAACTTCTTTGAGCATGGGGTGTTTTAACTTGTGTAACATCCCTATTTTATTAATTATTAATTTCATACTTGATGTGAGTTGTTAATACATGTCGCTTGAAATTAGGAGAGTTTTAGATGTGTGAGTTGCAGAATTTTTCTCTGTAGCAAGACATGTCTCGCTGTAGCGAGAATGCTCTCACTGTAGCTAGAATGATAGACAATAAAGTGCAATTTTGTCTAATTTTTTCACTGTAGCGAAAATTTCTCGTTGTAGCGAGAATGTCGCGAGTCTAGAGTTATTTAAGAGTTTTCAAGTTAGAAAACTTGGATTACAATCCAAGTTTCGAGCTCTCTCTTGTTCTCTCGACCCCTAACCCTCTTCTTAGAAAATATCTCCAAAACCTCAACTTTCTTACAAATCCAAGCTTGGGAACTTCATCAATAAACTCCAAGTAATTTCTTGAAGCTTTGTTTTTCTTTTTGGGTGTTTTCTAAGTTTCTCCTTTCTCAAATTGTTCTATTTTGTGATATCTAGGAAAATCTTGGTCCTTTTACTCAAAACCTTTGCCAAAATCTCTTTCAAAATTTCGTCTCACGGTAAGGAGAGCTCTATTTCATTGCTAGGAACTATTGTATGTATAGGTGAAAATACTTGAAATGAGTATGTTTTGATTGATAACATTTGATTGATGTGTTTAAAACATGCTCCGTGATGTTTGAAAATGATATATGATGAGTATGATATGTTTGAATCTGAGCATGTGTATGATGTACTGAGCCTGAGAGGAATAACCCTCGACAATGAGAAAGTAATATATAATGAAATAATGAAATAGAAAGAGACATAGAAAGATGAGATATAAAAGAGAAAGAGAAAGGAAATCAGAATGGATACAAAAAGGACAAGTATAGATAGTTCAGAGGTACACTTGGAGTGTGAAAGATGAAGAAGACTAAAAAGTTTTGGGGAAATGAGGGTGGTGGATGTTCCTCTTGAATTGTGCACTATAAATGAGAGTAGGAGTACCACAGGCCTCACACTCGTTTCCTGACCTATACTCCTGATCACATTTTTGCTAAAAGGGGCCTGGTCTGCACACGTTGTATCCGTGTAGCTGCGACTATCCAACAACTATCTATACTAAGGAAGACCTCAAGGGATCTCAGGGGCAGTGAAAATTGAGAATGGAACTGAGTATGAAATGATTACTGAAAGAAAAGAGAGATAAACATAAGTTGTATGTATAACTGAATCGATTTTATGATGCATGTTAGATGTTGACTTGTATTATTGGATTCTTTGTGTATGTATGCCTGGAATGAATGTAGAGACTCATCCTTATGTAACCATTTCAGGAAGCCCAGATGACGGCACCCAGGGAGGGAATTAGAATAGTAGATAGTTCAGAAGTAAATATAGTAAATGATGTTTTTGGCGAGTATTAGAGACTTACTTCTTTTAGAATTCTTGTACATGATAGTGAGATACCTAGTGAGATAGTGATGATGGAGTTAGAGTTAGCCTTTAGTATCCCTTTTGATTTGTCTATACATAGAATCCATCACATCTTCTATATTTATATCTTTTCTGGTATTGAGAGAACCCCTGCAGTAGTAACGTATCTTGTTACGTATTATGACCACGATCAGTCTAGAGTACCATTGTGATGGACGATCGGGCATATTACAGGTGTTCAGGTCATCGTAGACCCG